TTTCTTTCTTTCTTTCTTTCTTTCTTTCTTTCTTTCTTTCTTTCTTTTCCTTCCTTCCTTCCTTCCTTCCTTCCTTCCTCCCTCCCTCCCTCCCTCCCTCCCTCCCTCTCTCTCTCTCTCTCTCTCCCTCCCTTCCTCCCTCCCTCCCTCTCCCTCTCTCCCTCTCTCTCCCTCCCTCCCTTCCTCCCTCCTACAAGAAGGTAAATTAATATGTGTAGAATACTGGGCTCTAAACAAATCTAAATATATGTTCTGTTAACTTAGAACAAATATTGGAATGTGTGACCTAGTATACCTCTTCCCAATTACATCTGCCTATAACATCAGATCTAGCAGAAAGGGCATGTTGCAGGATCTTTGGCAAATGCTAGACAGCAGCCTTTTCTGCTGAGGTGCCCACATAGGTCCCTAAAACCCTGGATCACCACTTCATGCCATTTTTCTCCTTGCAGGTTATGGCATTGAGCATGCTCAGTGTGTGCCTCCATCAGAGTTTTCTGAGCCCAGCTTCATCACAGAGTCCTACCAGACTCTCCATCCAATCAGCTCTGAGGAGCTCCTCTCTCTCAAATATGAGAATGAGTACCCATCAGTCCTTCTTCGCGACCCAGTGCAGATGGACTCCTTGCAGACAGACTACTTCACAATCAAACAGGAAGTCGTAACACCGGATAACATGTGCATGGGGCGTGCCAGCCGAGGTAGTGTAGACAAATAGATAATAAGGGCCCCTCTATTTGGGGCATTGTGGTTGCTTCTGTTCCATTCCTGGTACTGCAAAAACCTTCTTCAGATCATGGTTGCAATCTGCTGGTGAGCAGCCTCACCATATCAGCCCTGGTGTTGCAGTGGTTAGAATGCAGTATTTCACGCTAACTCTGCCCACAGTCTAGAGTTTGATCCGTGGTGGAGCAGTGGTTAGAATGCAGTATTGCAGGCTAATTCTGCTGCTGACTGACAGAGTTTGATTCCCACCTGCTCAAGGTTGACTCAGCCTCTAATCTTTCTGAAGTCAGTAAAATGAGGACTTAGATTGTTGGGGGAAATATGCCAACTCTGTAAACTACTTAGAAAGGGCTGTAAAGCACTGTGAAGCAGTATATAAGTCTAAGTGCTGTTGCTATCAATTCAGACTTCTATCCTTCCAAAGTCGATAAAATGAGGACCAAGATTGTTAGAGGCAATATACTAACATTGTAAACCACCCATTTAAAGCAGTACAGAGTGGTATACAAGCTTAAGTACTGTGCTATTGCTATTGCTGGCAACTTTTTCTAAATGGTGGATAATTTTGGTATAGTATGCCTAAGTGATCTTACTGGAGAAATGTTCTAATCTAGTCTTCCCCAACTACTGACTCTGGAAGTCATAGTCCAAGACATCTTGAAGAACTGGCAAAGGCTATTGAAAAAAAAAATGTGCAACTGTCATAAGTTAATGGCCCCCTTGACACTGTGAATTGCTTTGTGACAAAACTCAGGGGGGAAGATGTATGTTATAACTCCTCACTCAAATGGGGACACCAGGCTTATTTGCAAATAAGGTTGAATGACTTTGGTTTCAAACATGTATATACCCATAAATCCATTCTCATCACCACCATACCTTTAATATATATTTCAGATCCATATCAGCTTTTTTTATTCAATAATAAATTGGATTTGACCTCATTCTTGGCCCCAGTTCTGATTCCCAGACACCCCTGTCTACACTTGACAGTGGGGTTGAGATGGTTTTATTTTTTTTCCCATGAAACCCAGCCTTTTGGTCTGGTTTTTTTTAGCACAAAAAAACAACAAACCAATGAACAAACAATAGCTCGCCTACTGTTGTGCAATAACTGCACTATCTGGGATTTCATATCACTAAAAGCTATGATTGAACCACGGTTTTTGGAATATGCTATGGTTAGTTGAGATGACACTGTGATCAAGCCACAGTAGCTAAGCTCACCTATCACACAATATTTAAAAATGGAAAAATTTCTGGAAACATCCATATACTTTTCTTGGCAACTATTTGGAAGTGGTTTGCCTTCTAGGATTTATTTTTTAATTTTCCAGTGTAGCCTACACCCTTGTTTTCCCATCCAAGTATTATCCTGGTCTAACTGACCTTGCTGAGCTCTTTTGAGATCAGCCAAGGTTTACAGGATACAGCTCCCTCATTGGGCACATCAACCGACTAAATAAATAATGTGTTTTGTTTGTTTGTTTAACAAATTTATCCCTCCTTTGGGATCACTTTGCAGGTTTATGAATAAATAAATAGCACTATTTTGGCAAGGTGATATATCTCCTTTGACTGATGGACACTTTCCTATGCTATGCTATGCAAGATTTTTCAACTAGAAATACCACCAATAGAATTGTTGAAGAGTTGTTTGTTTTCTTAAGCCATGCATTTGCTTTTGAGTGTTCTAAAGATGCAATATGAGAAAGGCATTGCACGCCTTTCAAATTCTAGATTTTAGAGACTCTCTATACTTTGCTTATCTCAAGCAAGTGATTCCTGCCATTATCTAAATTCTTACTAGATATATTTTGGGGGTGGGTGGATAGGGAGGTACATACTGGACAGGATATGGAGGTCAAATCAAAACATGGCAAATAGGCCAGTTCAAAGCCTTCTCCCCACCTCTGAGAGTTATTATGTGGGCTTTGGTTGCCACCATCTCTGCCAAAACACAATCCCAGCAGCTGTTTTCAGACTGGTTTTGGTAATTAATGAACTCAAATGATCCTACTAAACTCCTAAGGTTGTCAGTAAAACTGAAATGGTTGAGCAACAGCCATCAAGTGGAATTCCAGAGAAAGCAGTGTAAGATCTTATTTGTTTTGTTTTATTTGTTCACTTTTGAACCTGTGTGCTTTGGTAGGAATTCAAATTTTTAGCTGAAGTAAGAGTGATTAATCTGGGCAGAGTTGCCTGACTTGACATATTGGATTTCTGGCAAAGTGATCTCTTAAGAAGCAAAGAATAAACAACCCTCATGTTTGCCAGGACTGAGGTAATATCTAATGGTCATGAGGAGGAGGAAGAAGAAGGGACAATGCACAACCTCTCCTTGTTTGTAACAGAGGGCTCTGCATATGTGGCTGAAATCTGAAAGTGTTCAAATAAATGCATACATACATATATATATAAGGAAATATATATTTTATATTAT